ATATTTAGCTTGTTAACTAAATATTTTATTTGTAAGTTTGTAGGGACACTGTCTGCTCTGTGGTACAGAGTCCTGATCACTCCTAACTTGTGTTCCAGTGGGTGGTGGGAGTCAAAACGCAAATATTGGTCTGTGTGGGTGGGCTTACGATACACGCCAGTTTCCAACCGTCCTCCATCCGAAACCGAGACATCGCAATCCAGGAACGCCAACCTGCCATTTTTTACATCCTCTGGTGTGAACTTAATATACTCATCCACAGAGTTGATGTGATCAGTGAAATGTTGGACTTCCTGGGCTTTCATTTTAACCTTGTCGTCAACATATCTGAACCAATGGCTCGGTGGCACCCCTGATAAGGACATCAATGCAAGCCATTTCCTATATAGGAAATAGAGTTCATATTTATCCTGCAGTTAAATGTTTCAAATGTAATTAAAACTATAAAGCAAAAATTTTAGCAAATACGCAATTATATTGTACAAATATACAATAAAAATGAGTCAAATACAGTCTGGTCAATAAAATGTGCAAATTGCAGTCAGTCCAGCAGGGGGCAGTAATGACATCATAGAATGCAACCGGCGGAAATTAAACGAAGAAGAAGAAGCAGTTTTTCATAAATGACATTTGCGGTGTTTCTAGCGGTCGTTAGGCCCTTCTAAAGTAAGCTGTTATTTATATTTAATAGCATATAGTCAAACGAATTTTCTATAAACATATATTCTGAAATTATTAACAAAAACTGTTGTCATTACAGGACAGAACCGGAAAAGCCCGTCGGGACACTCAGGTGGACAAAATGCTCTCGCGCATGTTAGCTTACTTTGTCAACAACCTCCGAGTCGTCGAGAAGTTGGCAGAGTCTCGTCCGATTCGCCGGGCAGCCCAGATCACAGCCTACGCCATCACCAAGGCTCAGATCGTTTGCCGGGACACGTCGGAGCGGGTCCTGCGCTCCCGGACGCTGCGGCAGGTCCGGGAAGAGGCCGGTAAAGTCCCCGGCGACATGCAGGAAGTGAGCGGCCGCCTCCGGAGACTCCGGGAGACGTTTGTTAAGGAGGTGAAAGAGGGATGGAAGGATGGCTCCAGGCGGATCAAATAATGAGGACAGGACGGTTCAGGCGGAGCTCCAGGTTTGGAGCAACTGAAGAAATGATGTAAGGAGAACCTGCCTCAACGGCATCAGATTATTTAAATGTTTTCAGGGGGTGGTTGGTGAGCAGATCAGTAAAATTACATTTTTAATCTTCTCACATTTATGAAAACATTTATGCCTGGTGTGGATGAACTGAAAGAACACCTGGGATTATCGACAGAAACTTTCTCAACATTCAGTGAGACGGATAAACACAAATGTTTTCTTTTCATTGTGAAATAATAATTTCATGCCACCGATCCTACCAACAAGCTTTTAAAGCTGTAAAACTTATTGTAAAAAACATGAACATTTATGATGTGTGTAAATATAGAATTATAAATTAACCTGCCTTCAGTGTATCAATAAAGAATCTGATTTCAAATATTACTTTAAAGTTTGGTTACAAAACAATAAATAAAGTGAATCAATTTGTCATTTTTCCTGTTAGAGTACACTGCAAAAACTGTCCACCTTACCAAGTTTTAAAACCTTATATCCAGACAAAAAAGTCTTTTTGATCTTGTTTTGAGACTGATTTACTAAACAAGAACTGATTGTGTAAGAATAATAATCTTGTTTTCAGAATGTGTAAGAT